TACTGCTGAATGACATGAACTTATATAATTGACTGTTCTATATCTAACCCTGTAGGTTATATAAAGACATATTCTGTATATAGTACGTACACTTGTACACTTATGTAGTTATTATATAAGTGACCACAGCCTGATCTTTATCTTTAGCCCAGACCCATGACAGACTGCTGACAACCCAAGTCCTACTAAATGGACACACTCACACACACACATGCATGCTCTTGCACATATATACACTTATGCATACACTAATGGCATGTAATGGTGGCGTAACAGCAGGGCCATTTAATGTAACCTGGATGGGACCTTCATTTCATGTGGCCCATTGTGTTGCTCTAGATGGAAATGCTGTGCAGAGAGACACATGGTCTGGCCCGGCCTCACGCAGAGTAATCCTCACATCACTTTAATGAGGAGTTAACACACACTGACCTCAATACACACACACACGCACACACACACTTTTAACTATACAAGCATATAGACAGCTGCAGTGATATGATGAATAGCTGTTTAAAACACGCTCAGACCAATCGCAATTGCAAAATGACAGCCTATTAATGCTTTAACTAAAATCTAAAACAACACAAGCAAGAAAAAAATTTACAGCAAGACCCTCAGAAAACTCAGACTAGGTCTGCCCCAAAGCCCCTCCCATACCCTCCCTTCCCCATCTGCCTCTCTCCCTCTTCTTCCACTTATTTCTGCTCTGTTTTATCATCACGCTCCTCTACTCTTCCTTCCTTCTACTCCACCCAATCTGTAACTTTCCTCCCAGTTTCCTCCAGTAACAATTCTGACCTGCACCAGTCCCTCACAGTAAGCACCATGCCTTCCTCCTGGTCTGTCTCTCCATCGGTCTGCCTCTCCATCACACAAACACACACACACACCACCGTGGCCCTCTCTCTCAGCACCGCTCCTTCCCGTCTCATAATGCTCAGTTACCTTATCAATAGTGATTGATCCAGCCCCAGTGCTGAAGGTCCTGCTCTCTGTCCCTGTGCAGCAAGCGCTCGGTTCTCTCCATCCACCCTTCCTCTGTCAATCTGGCCACAAACCCCTCTTTCCTCCCTTTATCCCGAGGTAAGATACTTACTTTTCAGATAAAGCATATTATGATAAATCGGCTGAACTCTGTGCGTGTGTGTGTGTATGTGTGAGTGTGTAACTGTCACACACACACAAATAAGCACACAGTGTGCACACAGACATACAAAAATACAGTGTGTGTATCGAACAACAAGATGTCAGAGGTGCTTAACAGCTGGAAAAGTGTTTGTGTGTTTATATAATACGTGTGTGTGTTTGTGTTTGTGTGTGTGTGTGTGTGTGTGTGTTAGTTGCGGTCTGTTGGTTTTTGGTTTATGTCATGGCAATCATTCAATAATGAAGACACGAACATAAATGATTAGAATTCTTTCCTCTTTTTACATTTTCATCATCTGCAGCACACATAAGCTGCGGATTGCAATCAAATGCACACAACAAAGGCTTGTTTATCAGGGAGGATGCTGGGAAAATTTTGTTTCATTACTGTCATTTTTTTTCTATAAAACAAAAGAGAATGAAAAATCCAGGCCTTAAGTTTCTGTTAATAAAAAGGGCCCAGGAAGCTTCATCACAGTGATGATTGTGTTATATGTCTGAGTGAAACTTCATTTCAATTTCAATTTGACCGTCTTTTTTTATTTTTGATCTTTTGAAGTGGTTGTACAATTGATTGAACAGTAATGACACAGTCAGTATCACACAGACATGCATCCATCCACACACAGACCGAGGAAGACTGTGTGAGCATTTTTCCTTTTTACTATAACTGTCTCGACAAATGAGTTCGGTCTCTGCCTCTTAGTTCATCGAAAGATGCGTGGATTCACGTTTGCTAATGAAATGGGTTGAGAGAAATAGTGGAGCATATGGGCAAATGTTCTCCAACAAAGTGGGATGGAAGTTAAGGTCAACAAGGGGAATAAAAGAGTTTGGAGAAAATGAAAACTAAATGAAAATACAATGGCTGTGTTTGCCTCTGGGACGTGTATGCGTGCTTGTTTCAAAATGGGATGTTTATGAAATGCTGCGTCTGTGTGTGTGTGTGTGTGTGTGTGTGTGTGTGTGTGTGTGTGTAGGAGTATAGATTAGATGTACTAAGCCTCTTATGTGCTGGTTGTCCTTAATTTGCGTCTGCTCTGGGTCCTAGTGCGTCTAACCTACCAGCAGTCCTTCATCACAGAGCAATTTCCACAGAAACGAGCCAGAGCATCACATGTCATGCAACAATGAAATGTATAGTTTTGTTCTTAAAGAGCATTAATATATAGTACTTATCATAGGCCGTGCCTACATATAAATACATACAAATATGTGCATGTGAAAAAAATAGAGGATTAAACTTTTAAAAACTAAATTACTTGGAGGGGAAAGGATGACTGAGATGAGTAAAACAGAATATATTAGAAAAACAATGTTATTACGCCATTTTGCAAATGCAGAGTTGTGTGTTGATTTTAAACTAAAGATTAACAACCTAATGAACAAATCTCTGTGTTTCTATAACATCCCTATAGGAACTTTCTTACACAGTACTTCTATAGGAATTTAGACTGTAATTTAAATGTATAATTAATCACTTACATTGCGAGAGATTGTACAGTTACTCAAGAACAACAATTATATCCTGTTTGTTTTCGATATTTTACAATGTAAAAATAATTTAGAGCCATATAAAGAGCCAGAGATAAATGGGATTTTTCGGTTCCCATGCTATAATACTGGATTGATCATGGATTAGGATAATAACTTAAACAGTATCTTGTATTATTGTTCATGTATTATTAAAAAAAAACGTAACGAAGCTTTAAAACAGATAAGACAAAAGACATTTATTATAGCTAAAAGTTATAAATAGGGGTTGGTGTAGTTGATCTATTTTTTATGCTTGTCCTTTCGCAGCCTTTAAATCAAAATATGAATATATAAAGTAAAATGTTTGTTGAAATATGAACAATAAATGTGTTACAATAAATACAATATGAAACAACAGAGGAGTCTGAGCGGAGCAGGTGTGTGAACTGTGCGCGTGCACAGCAGTGTAGCGCGCAGTGTCGCGCGCTCTGAGGCATATCTGAGGTCTCTCGCTATTCCCGCCGTTTTTTTTGGTTTTTTTTTTCTCTTTCAGTCAATTGGAGGTCTCGAGACATGCTTGTCGTCGGACTCCCCACAGTTAGCTCGAGCAGGCCTACACGACCCGCTGGCGGTTAGTTTAGTTCAAGCTGCGCGAGCTACAACAACAAAACAGCAGTAAACAAACAAACAACGCGTACCTGGATGTGTGCAGGTGAGGCGTCCACTGGAGACAGGAGGTATCCAAACGCCAACAACACACGCACACACACACACACACACACACACACACACACACACACACACACACACACACACACACACACACACACAGGCCTCCTCTGAAACAGCTTCACACACTCTCTCCTCAGCAGGTGAAGACATTTTATTTAGAAACGTTCAAACACGCCGGTAAAGTCTCTCTGTCGCTCTGTGTGTGTCTTTATATCTCCGCTTTGGCTTTACAGAGCTAGATAAACCCCTTATACAGTTTGGGCTGTAGCTACATGGGTCTGTGTGTGTGTGTGTGTGTGTGTGTGTGTGTGTGTGTGTGTGTGCGTGTGTGGATTTTAAACTATAAGAAATCCGATTCAATTAACAAGCGCAGAGAATCGGCTTTGGACACTGTGAAATTGTCTCGCAGCAGAGGATGGCACAGGCCAAACAGGAGGGAAGAGACACTACTGTGAAAATACACACCGGGTCTGACCAGGGGAAGACTAGGCCTCACCTATATATATATATATATATATATATATATATATATTTTTTTTTTTTTTTTTTTTTATTAATAACACTGTAAAACAAAATTACATTTAATTACAACCATCCTCAGATCGGACGTTTGGACCAAGATTGAGTGCCTAAATATGTGTGAGAGCTGAAAGGCAAAAAAAAAACCCTTCTAGAAACAAACAAACAAATAAAAACAAAACAGTCTTCTCTGATGTTTAATTATTAACAGTTCAGTTATTTTACATTTTATTTTAGTAGACCAATGGCCTACCTGTTGTCATTAGTTTATAATTACCTATTATTAGTTTTATATCAAATATATGATGCACATTATACAATTGTAATATTCTAAATTATGTAATTCAAACTCACAAGATACAACAACAAAACCATATTATTATTATTATTATTATTATTATTATTATTATTGTTGTTGTTAGTGACTGTAGTGAATGAATGGATGAATGGACCGGAGGGAGCATGTTGGGGATCAGAAGGGGATTTAATAGCAGAACAACGCGGTCTTTGTGCTGCTTTTAATCCGGCCTGTACCCCCTTCTCTGCCTCCCAGTTGCTCTACCTCTGCCTCCACACTCAGGAAGAGTCGCCCAATTATTTTAGGAGGCCAATTTCGAAAATGGTTCCTAACAATAAAACCTGGAAAAGACTGAGATAGTTACTGGGGTTCTCTCAGAGCAGAAGACGACCAACCATCCATCTTTCATCTGTATGAAGTCAACTTCCCAAGTGCCTTTATGGACGGATTTTAGTGCCGTCTTCATTTCTTTCTTTTTAATTACTGTGTTTTTCGAATTAATTTGTACTAGTTATATGTAGGCTACGTGTCAACAAGTGTCAGCCACAACAACATGTTGGATCATAGCGTAAACAAATTTAAATAAAAGAAACATATTAAATAAAGCCTGGAACTCTATAAGAGGCATATTCTTCTTATCCTCCTATACATTTCATATTACAGGCCCAATAGGGATACATAATGACGGTGTGTGTGTGTGTGTGTGTGTGTGTGTGTGTGTGTGTGTGTGTGTGAGTGTGTGTGTGTGTGTGCGCGCGCGCGCGTTGGCTTGAGCAAAGAGAGAGAGGGAGAGAGAGAGAAAGAGAGAGAGGGAGGGCTCTGGGTGTCTACTTGGGTAAGAAGTTACTTCTAATTAGCCAGCCTCTTCTTGCTCGCCTCACTTGTCCACTCTGCAGATCCAGATCCTCTCCTCAGGGACCAGGTACCGTCAGAGGCCCCATCAGACCGCAGACAGCCGAGCTGTTGTGGAGCTGCTGCTTTTGGCACCTTTTCACCCGGCGACGTCGGTGCGCACCGAAATTACGCACGACTTGGATGGAGAAGCTGCATCATAGCACGGCTCTTATTTAGTCAGCCTTTATCGTTTTTTTTAAATACTGTCTTGGGTTGATTTTAGTTGTTGTTGTTGTCCTCATTATCTGCAAAGAGAAAACATAGAATATACACCTTGTCGCTAAATCAGCGGGGTTTTTACGCGTCAGGTTAACACAGGTGTTTAGGCGCACGTCGGTCCTTGTACAGTTGGACCCACAGGTGCCCGGTTCGACGGCACTGAGTCCGAGCAGCATACAAAGGTAGTAAAGGAGAAGGCCAGCAAGGAAATATCAAAAACAACAACTAAGTGACAAATAACCCAGGGTAAAAGAAAAACAGAGAGGGAGGGAGTGACAGAAAAAAAAACTAGAGAGAGAGAGAGAGAGAGAGAGAGAGAGAGACAACCCCTGGAGACTAGCTAGGAGACCCGGCCCCCGGTCTGAGAGAAGGAGAGAGAGAGTGAGGGAGTGAGGGAGTGTTTTAAAGCCGGCAGGAGGCATGATGTCCTACATTAAGCAACCCCATTACGCCGTGAACGGGTTAACGCTGTCCGGCCCGGGCATGGATCTGCTCCACTCCGCCGCCGTTGGATACCCCAGTAAGTAATGACCTGTTACCTTATAACTCTATGCTTTTTACAATAATATAAACCTGTCTTTTCATTGTTGTTTCATTTGAAAAAAGTTTATTTTTAAATGCAGAAACCCAAATAATTCAAAAAATCCTGTTATGTCTTTATAATAATCAGTAAGAAAAAAAAGGCAAATTCACTTGAATGTCATTTTTTTAAATGCAGCTAAGGTTGTGCTTTATGATTATAAATATATGGCTCTGATTCTTCAGCCATCAGGACATGTGTTCACTTGACCTATAAGTTCTGTGGATTATAGAGTCAAAAAACAATAAAAAGTGTGTGTGAATGGAAACGCAGCCTGTTCTCACACAGACTTAACACCAAACAGACTCCAAGCTGTTGATCTTATCATGTAACCTATTTACAAAATGATGCTCATTGTATTTTATTTTGAGCCGTAATGTTTTTCATGAATGGACACTTCTTATATTGTTCGGATGGACTGATCAGCATCTGTCATCCTTGAGAGGAGAGTTTGAATGAAATGATGCCGAGGTTTGGCACTGGTGACAGAAGGCGTGTTACAAAGCTTGGCCTTCGGGAGGCAGATTAGAGTTTGAATCAACGAGTTAAGACATTTTTTAAAATTCAGAATCAGTGCCTCGGAATGATTTTCGTTTCTTCACCTTGAATATTTCGATTCGAAATGTCTCATTTATGAAAGATAAAACCACACGACCTTTTTATTCGATCCGATACAAAACAGCACATTTCCTCTGGCCCGGTAAAAATGATCGACTACAACAAATAATACCTAATAAATATATATCGACATTCAGCTGATTAAATCTAGAACCAGCTTTATTTTTTGCGAATTCAACAGAAATAATAATTTTCATGATTCATACGCAATCACTGAATCACCTTACTTTAATAATGCATTATGGGATTTTAATAGCCTAATATAGATTGCTATTTCCAGTCTATCGGCCTTTTGAATTTTGTGTGTATAATGTTTGAACACAGATCTCATGGTAGCTACAGCGCTATCTTTTAAATACCAACATAATAAAAACACCGCATGTATAATACTACTACTACTACTAATATTTATAATAATAAAAATAATAATAATCAGGTGATTATTTCTTCGCAGGCACCCCGCGTAAACAGCGCCGGGAGCGCACCACCTTCACACGCGCACAGCTGGACATCCTCGAGGCTCTGTTTGCCAAAACCCGCTACCCAGACATCTTCATGAGGGAGGAGGTGGCCCTCAAGATCAACCTGCCCGAGTCCCGAGTCCAGGTAACACATTACAAACCAATAGCCCATACAGAGTGTGGTTTTAGTATTATATCACATGTACAGTATTTTGATGCAAACAAATATTAACTGGCATGTTGAAAGAGAAAACTGTGTGTGTGTGTGTGTGAGAGATAACAGGTTTACACACAATAGCAGCTTTTACACTTTGAATGTTTTTATTGCATTGTATTTACTGTTTATTATTCTTATTCGTATTATTATTATTATTATTATTATTAGTAGAAGTAGTAGTATTAGTATTATTATTATTATTATTATTCTTAGTAGTAGTAGTAGTATTAGTATTAGTATTATTAATCAATACTGATTTTATAATGAAGCTCCTCTCTGATGCACCTCTGCCATCCTCCAGGTCTGGTTCAAGAACCGTCGTGCCAAGTGCCGCCAACAGCAGCAACAGAGCACAGGCCAGTCCAAACCCCGGCCCCCTAAAAAGAAGGCATCCCCTGCTCGTGATGCCAACACTGAAGCCAGTGCCAACCCCACTAATGGACCCTACAGCCCTCCACCTCCTCCTCCAGGCACCGCCATCACCCCCAGCTCTAGCTCTGCTAGCGCCACGGTGTCCATCTGGAGCCCAGCTTCCATCTCCCCACTGCCAGACCCCCTGTCTGCCTCCACCACCCCCTGCATGCAGCGCACCACCACCTACCCCATGACCTACACCCAGGCCCCAGCCTACAGCCAGAGCTACGCAGGCTCCTCCTCCTACTTCACTGGCCTGGACTGTAGCTCCTACCTGTCCCCCATGCACCCACAACTGTCGGGTACCGGAGGTGCCCTGAGCCCCATCACAGCCTCCTCGATGGGTGGGCCCCTCAGCCAGTCCCCCGCCTCGCTCTCCTCCCAGGGCTACACGGCCGCCTCGCTGGGCTTTGGAGCCGTCGACTGTCTAGACTACAAGGACCAAGCTGCCTGGAAGCTCAATTTCAATGCCACTGACTGTCTGGACTACAAAGACCAGAACTCCTGGAAGTTCCAGGTCTTGTAAAGTGGGAGGTGGGGAGGGAAGGGGATAGGGGAAGAAGTGAGAAATTGAAGTAGGGTGAATAACCCAATATTACTGTTGGTGTGTTTTAGAGGAAGGAAGAGACCTTGGGACACATAAATCAATTAATCATATCAGTTGAAGAACTAATCAGCTGAAATAATGTCTTCAGTTTTTCTTTTCAAAAAATATGTGTGGAAGTAAACTGACCTGTTGACGCTTGGCTCGGTGATTGTAACAAGGAGATAACAGTAGTGTTTCTAAGTTAAGCAACATAGAAATCAGCCTTGAAATCAAGAAATGGCTGCTTGAAAGCAATATGTGTACAATAAAATCTAATTAGTGAGAAAGAACAACAGCTTCAATTCTCCAGCTCAGTGGATTAGTGACTATTGTTGTAATTTAAATACAGTCTGACTATATTACTGATGACAAGAGAATTTAAAGTGAATGATAAATGAAGGAGGCTACTTGTCCCATGCTGAAAGCATCCATTTGATTTATGACTCATTAGTTTTGGTTTATAGAAATCTGATTTGTTTGATAGAGCTGATTTCAGAAACTGAATGACTGGCCTTGACTTAGACCACATTTGAAGCAGAGCTTTTTTTGTTTAACTGCCACAGCACAACAGTTCAGTGACATACAATTTTGCCGCATAGACAGCCTTGAAATCGACGCGATAAAGCACTGACGAGAGCCCAAGCTCATGTCTATTTCTTCCTTCTAGACTTTGTCTTGTATTTTCTGTGATGTTATTTCTTTTATGAAGCTGCTTTTCATCAGCGAGCTGACTCAAAAAGCTTTGAGCCAAACAACTCAACTAACCCAAACCGACACCTTCAGGAGGCTCGTTACAGGGGTGGCCACTCATTTAATAGTGTGAAAAATACATAGCAGACAGAAGCTGATGATTCCCAGTAGCCTTGTGTGATACTGACCCTCTGCAGCCTGTGTTTGATACAAGCGGAGGGGGTAGAGTTGGTCACTGAAGTGACTGCAGTACAAACCTGTTGCCTTTGAGCATGGTTGAAAATCATTAGCAGAATGGCTCGTACATTGTTAGTTTAATAGGATCACTTCCAGACAATTTGGGCAACAATGGTCTCGTTGTGGCTATTGGCAGCCGAGTACTTTTCCCCCCACTCCATCTCACAGTGTTTGCATGAGGGTAGCAGATTGTTGAAGCAGTTCTTGAATTACTTTATTTTAAACATTTTAGCTGATAAACAGCTCCAGTGAGGTATTTGATGGGAGAGAAGACTGCGCCAGAGAAAGGGAAGGGATGGTCCGCCATGCAGCCCCCCCTTTGCACAGAGAGTTTGATGCCTCTCTCAACTCCAACCTGTAAAGATGTGATGGGTACTACTTTATGTGTTTGATGTATCATTTGATTTTTTTTTTCTTTTTGTATTAGAATTAAACAATATTATGTTTCTTTAAAAAAATTGTGAATTCGTTGAAGTAAAAATTGTGGTAATTTGTTTTGAAGTTGATATTATTATCAGTATTATTGCTATCATTAATATTATGTCTCCAGCTGACATGGACATTGCTAATATACTTTTTTTGTTGTTCTTTTGTAAATATTAAAACTTGAAAATGCAATCATGTCTGGTATCAGCGACGAGTTGTTACGCAGGCGCTCCACCCAACAGAATCTTTCTCTTTCTTACTTTCTAGAAAACTGCCAACTTTGTATTTTTTCTGTTTATATTTTTCTGGTTTCTGCTTCTTCTTTTTTTTTCAAACTCAGGGGTTTATCCAGTAAAAGTAGCAGTAATAGGATACAATGCTGTTTATGCTTCTTAATCATTTACTGTACTTTTATCTTTTGCATAACTATAATCTTCTCTGCTTATTTTTCTGACATTATTTTGTATATTTCATTTGTCTCCTGTGTTCCACCAGTCTCACCACTACCATGCTAGATAGCTATGATGTTTCTGAGACATTAAACGACTTCATTAAAATTCATTGTGTTCTGTAAGTCATTGGATTTGAGTGTTTACTTGCTGAATGATGTCAGTGTTGAGTCAAGGTAAGGCTACACCTGTGACATGTGTTATTCTTCCATACCACTGCCCTTCAGGGCTGTAGTAGGAGAAAAAGGGAGTGTCGGACATCCAGAGAGGGGAGATTGGGAATCAGTTTCTGGGAGCGTTCCACTAATCCATACAAGAGGTTGAGTGGGTATAAGGCAGAGATGAGAGGGAACAGGGCAGAGAGGACAGAAAACAGATTAGATCTAACAATAATACTGAGTCCCACCGCTCCCGCCAGCCCCAAACTGAAGTACGAGATGGGCAGATTATTTTGGATTGCTGAATGTTTCTGTGTGTTGCATCAACCGATGGACCAGGGGGTCGGTGCCACGGGCACTGGATGAAAGGTTTTAGCTCATGGTGAGATGCTTGATATCTTGAAACAAGGCTGTGGGTCTTGAATCACAATAAAAATACACCTATGAGAGAAAATGTGTTTTACTCATGATGAATGGTCCAACCCTACATGTAATAGTCACTGCTGCCAACTGGTGCTGTTGTTTGTAGCCACACTAGTGCCATGGCTCTAGGGATGGCGACGGCGGTCTGTTGGTCCACTATTTTAGTCCAGACTGAAATATCTCCTATTGGATGGATTGTCCATCAACATTAATGTTTCTTATAGGAGTCCTGATGAGTGTGGTGGGATATTTTATCGGATTTACTTTTATCAGATTTTAATTTTACTTAAAATTTACTTAATTTTATTAGGTATTATTCATTCAATTCAGTAATATATATTTATATATAGTTGAAATAAAATAACAGATAACTAATAACTTTGGTTATCTCTAAACTTTTCCTTTAGCACCATCATCAGCTCATAGTTTAATTTGTCATTACTTTGGTTTATGATGAAAATGAATGACATTCCCATCAGCCCCAGCTGATGTGTTAATTGCTAATTAGCAAATGTTAGCATGCTAACATGCTAAACTAAGATGTTGAACATGGTAAACAGTATACCAGCTCAGCATCAGTATTTTACAGTAGAACTGAGAGCATGTTAGCATATCGACGTTAGCATTTAGCTCAAAGCCCCACTCTGCTTAAATGCATCCTGAAAGAGCTGCTGCTAAACTCTTTGTTTGGATTGCTGATGCTATTTTGATCATCAGGACAAACTACAAGAAAGTTTTATTGTATAAAAACCTTTTGTTTTAAACAGTTTTTACTATAACGTGAGTAAAAAGTATTGTGCACATTCGAGCTGATGTTGCACCTGCAAGTCTAATGGTCTGTGCAGGTCCTTCACACTGTGAACTCTTCTTTTACAGAAATGCTTGATGGGACTATACAGTTAAACAATCAGACAGATATTTAATACTAATCATTGTCACGTTACGCAACAATTATTTGTCTGGTTGTTGGACTTTTCTTCTCAGACTTGCCCAGTAACAGTGAGTCTCTACCTTCTGACTGGGATTTAGCCTGAGAATTTAGAGCTGGGTTCAGCCTCATGGTGACACAGCATAACACAGGCCTTGCAGCCCAAAAGCTCATTACAAAGTGCAGTAGACTAAGGTCACCAACAGGCTTGGGCTTTAATGAGTATTCATTAAACAAGTTACGTAGAAACTGCTACATTGTTGCTCTGGCAACTGAATTATGTGAATATACTTAAAAAGTTTGTTGCTGTGATTGAAATTGTGAGCAGTCGATAGATAGATAGATAGATAGATAGATAGATAGATAGATAGATAGATAGATAGATAGATAGATAGATAGATAGATACAGTGCTCTGCAGGCAGTGTGCTCCTATAATCCTCCAGCAGCAGCATATGGACTTTGGAGCAGAGACACAGACAGAGATACACTCAGGACTTAGAAATATGATTCATTTCTTTCCTCTCTCTAATCCCCAACAACAAGCTGGTGGCCAGCCTGCTCTGGAGGCACACTGTAATCATGCCTCAGGCTGCTGCCAGAGCGGACCAGCCTCCCCATCATCCCTCCCTCCTGCCCTTCATCCCTTCTTCCCTTCTTCCTCCCTCCTGCCTGCCCGCAGTCCATTTTCCTCTTAATCGATTCCTAATCCCAGCACCGGCACACACACACACACACACACACACACACACACACACACACACACACACACACACACACACACACACACACACACATAAATGAAGACTATCAATCACATACATTTGAATAGACTCACATGCAAACAGACAACAACTGACAAGCAACAGAGACAGACACACAGTCAAAGACAATGGCACATACACACACAGTTCACACATTAATAAACAATATTCTTTTCTTTTTAAATTAAATCAAATAAAATGAAAAGGAAATCCATGATGATCATTTCAGAGTAGAGTGAGGAACATTTTGTCCGGCTGTGTGGGAACAAAACAAAGTCAGACCAGGTTAAAGCAGCAGCTGAAAACACTACTTGTAGCCTGGTTTTGTTCGCTGTTAATATAAGAACTTAATACAGTGTCATAATATCCTTTCTCAAGCTGTGACTGTGCACACGTGAGTGACACAAAAATGAGTTGGTGTAACTCCTGGTGGCTTTTACATTTATATCAGCTCAAAATGCGATCATTTAAACAAAGTCTTTTTATATTTTCATATTGGATGTGTAAGGCCAGAAGGCGTACCGTTCTGTCTGTTGTCACTAATCACAACACGGCCCAGTGTTGCCTTCAGGGTGCTGTTTCTCATATGTGGGGGTCATCAAATAAATATGACAACATAAAGATCAGAGGAATGTTAATGGTCAGCTTTATGTACTTTAAACATCAATAAGTTTATTCCCTTATAGGAGAACTCCACACATTGCAGTGTCTTGGGGAGCACTACTACATATGTGAAAAAAGCCTTTTGTGGTTGCAGGTAAACTAATTATAAGTGTCTTCAAATGATGTCACTTAAGTTGGAGTCATTTGGGGCTGGGGTCTACAAGTTTGAACATGACAAAAAACTGCAGGTTTAGAGTCAGGAAGATGAGGTTGCAAGACCTCTGTAGCCCGCTCCCCATTTCTGTTACCAGCTCAAGGCTACATTAGCCACTACTAGCATGACACACAAGAATCTCTGACCTAACTGCTGGCGGTCCAGTTGCATTGTGGAACAGCGTGTATGATTTAGTGACATCTAGTGGGAAAGTTGCAGATTGCAACCATCTGTATACAGCTCAGCCTTCCAAGTGTAACGATAGTGGCCGGGCTACTGTAGAAACATGGCGGACCATGTAGAAGAAGACCCACTCCCTCTGTAGATAAAAACAGCTCAAGGTAATGAAAACACAGCTATTCTTATTTTCAGGTGATTATACATTAATGAAAATGTATCTACAAATATTATATTGCATTTCTGCCAATAGAGCCTCCTAAGTGTCAGTCGGAGTGGAATAAGATCATTTCTATCAACCTTAAAGTGTTAAAGCCTTAGAGCATACCCCCATGAATAGAAGGCCTTTGCGCAGCCTCAGCTTGGTCTTTGTGAAATTTCTGTATCAAAATATGTACTTTTGTGTATCAAAAATAGATAATCATTACACAACTCAAATCAAGTACTCATTTGTAGTCAAATATTAGCATGAGCTGTCTTTTGTTATGCTCCAACACTAACCACAGTAAAACCGGTCAAATGAATATCACAACATTTTTGAATTTGGCTAAATAAATCTATGGCTTTTATCTATTTAAAAAAATTCAATCAGTCGTTAAATAAGATTTGTAAACGTGCAGTAATGCTGCTAAATTACATAGTACTGCAGTGTAAGTAGGTGTGAGTGATCTGCAGCTAGTAGTGGTAACAGGATCAGTATTACAGTATGAATGGATCAACCAGCC